TGTGTAACCGATGGGGCTAATCTGGGCTGTGTTTGGGCCTGTGTAACTGATATTGGTGTTGTATTTTTACCCCTTGTACCGCAGGTTTGGACCCAGCAGGGCCGGAATTTGAAGGGGCTGAGGCACATCGTCGTCTGTCTCCAGATGATGCTGTCTTTGTGGATGCTCTTCACACTTTCACCCGGGGATCCCTGGGCCGGAGCATTGGGATCCAGCAGCCTGTGGGCCATGTGGATATCTATCCGAATGGAGGCAGCTTCCAGCCGGGATGCAGCTTGGGAAGAGTGTTGGGAAACATGAGATCACAAGGAGTGTATGGTGAGGGGAAAAGCAGTCATTGGCTTCTCAATGGAAGAGAAAGAACCTCCATTTATATAGCCCCCTTTATTATCTCAGGATTCCCCAAAGTACTTTACATCCAATGATGTCTTTTTAAAATGTGGTCACTGTTATGGACATACACAGAAAGATCCCATTAGTATTAGCAGTTGCATATTCTGAGGTCATACTTAGCGCTCCCTCAGTGCTGACCCTCTGACAGTGCGGCGCTCCCTCAGCGCTGACCCTTGATACGACCAGACCCCAGGCACGGCTCCCCAACTTGTTGCAGTTACGGATGGTATATCCCAAACTGTTTAATTCCAAGGATGAACTGGCTCCCCTTCTTTATTGACCCAGTCCCTTGTTTCATTGCAACAAAATTAACTGGGAAAAGGATCCCTTCTTGGTAGACACCTTTCTCCCAACTTCGAATGAACTTCTGTTTTCAAAAGAGCCAAATAGATCAGGCTGTCTCTAATTAACAAAAAGTGTGAGTTTATTAATCACTAGAGATAAGAAGTGGTAATATAACACACATACAAGCAAATTAGAAATCGGTGACTCCAAAAAGGCACAGTTTAGCAAAAGAAGTAGGCCAGCCTCCGAATTTTTAATGAACAACAGATAAGACAACCTTGTGGATACTGGGGAGTTGTACAAGTCGGGTTACTATTGGCAGTTGAACAGATGATTTATGAAGTTTTTGGTTATCTATGGTGATTGTAGTTCCTTTGTTTTGAGGTTGTTGACTTGCTCACCGAACTGTCTTCTTTTCTTTCATGTTCATAATGACGGCCATGTGCCCTTTGCCTGCTGGTAGGGTTATGATGTTCTTGTCTTTCCTGAGTTTATCTAGTGCTTTTCTCTCTGATGCATTCAGGTTGTCCCTGTTGTTCCTTACAACAAGCTATCCGACAAATTATAATCCCCACGCTACACAGAAGGAACAAAGGGGACAACCCGAACACATCAGAGGGAAAAGCACTAGATAAACTCAAGAAACAGACTGTTTTTACCTGCAACCCTGAGGTGACCAGGGGATTGTTCTTCCTGACAGTAGTAACGCACGATGCTCAAATACAAGCTGGTGCACACGTCAACATTCAGACTCAGTAAACCCATTCAGCAGAGTTGAATCTGGCTTTTTTTATCCCTGTCCTTAGGAATTCTTCAAAGGGCAAAACACAAAAGTGTTTCTGCAGTCTAGAACTTAATTCACAACGTCTGACTTGCTGCAGTGAGCAGCCCCATATTACCTTTTTGTAAATAGAATCTGTACAGTGTGGAAACAGGCCATTCAGCCCATCAAGTCCACATCAACTCTGAACGGCCTCCCAACCAGACTCACTCCCCCCTAACCCTGCATTTCCCATGGCTAATTCATCTTTCCTACTCATCACTGGACACTGTGGCCAATCCACCTAAACCTGCACATCTTTGGACTGTGGGAAGAAACCCACACAGACACGGGGAGAATGTGCATACTCCACACAAACAGTCATCCGAGGGTGGAATTGAATCTGGGTCCCTGGGGCTGTGAGGCAGCTGTGCTAACCACTGAGCCACCGTCTGTTTGCAATTTCTTTGATAACTTTAAGGTTTATGGCCATCAGTCCCATGCAGAAGTATTTTTTAACATCTGCAGGTATTGTCTCTTGTAATTCTCTCTTTAAAAACATAATTTGGAATTAAGGGCTAAAAATGCCTGTAATATTTTGGGTTCTGACCCATTGTTGTAACATCTTCCAGCAGCATACTGCTGCACTCCCAGTCTCAGCCTGGATTCTAATGTCTGGAGTGGGAGTAGATCCCACAACCTTCCAACTCCAAGGTGTAAGTCTTGTCCACTGGAGAGCAGCTTAATGTTTGTCACTGACCCTGACTGAAAAGTGTTGGTGAATGAAGCATTGAGTAATGCAAGGTTTAGCTAAAAACCCAGCATTTGCCAAGTTATGAAGCAGAGACTGTTTGACATGCAGCACAGAAATAGACCCTTCGGTCCAACCAGTCCATGCCAACCACATTCCCAAACTAAACTAGCCCCACCTGCCTGGGTTTAGCCCATATCCCTCCAAACCTTTCCTGTTTATACACTTATCTAAACGTGTTTTTATCGAGTCAGTTCAGGTACAAGCCTGAATTTAAAAGAGTTATAACAACTTTTTGCAGAATGCACTGACACTTCAACCATGTGCCCAGCTTTGTTACCTAAAGTTCAGACCAGCACCTCCCCCTTCCCTTGATGGGGCACTGCATAGTGGGCTTAAAAATCTGTCCTGGATGTATTTTAAAAATTATTCTAAACCTTTCACACTATGACAGCCACAGTTAATGTTGGGGAAGTTGGAAGCCCCTGCTATCACAACCCTATAACTTTTACACTTCCCTGAAATTTGCTTCCTTACCTGGTCTTCTAGTTTTACCCATCTGGGTTTATTTAAGGAGTTTTCTAAGATGCATCCCTCCTTGTTGCTGTACTAGTTTCCCTGAACATAATTGCGACACCTTCTTCTCTCTTCCCTCCTTTGCTTTCCCGCATGAAGATTGTGTAGCCTGGAATATCGAGCTGCCAGTCCTGCCCCCTCTCTCAACTATGTCTCAGTGGCTGCAATGTCATCACACCCTCATGTTTTAATTTACAACTGCAACTCATCTGTCTTGTTGGTCACACTCCTAGTATGAAAATAAATACCATTCAACCTTGTCTTGTACCTGAACTGACTTGATAAGACACTTGGATAAGTACGTGAATAGGAAAGGGTTGGAGGGATATGGGCCAAAGGCAGGCAGGTGGGACTAGATTAGTTTGGGATGATGGTGCCTGTCAGTGAGTCAGTGCTCATTCAGGCACATAATCATTCACAGATACAGAGAGAGAGAGAGAGACACACACGTGCAGACTGACACAGACTGATACAGGCACACACCTACACACACATGCGTGCACACACCTATCTCCCATTAAGTGCCTTCCCACACTCTCAAATTGCCACTTTGCCTTTTCACAGCTGTGGCTGATGCCATTAAATGCCAGCATGAGCGTGCCATCCACCTGTTTATCGACTCGCTCCTCAATGAGAACTCGCCAAGCATGGCCTATCGCTGCTCCAACCAGGAGACCTTCGAGAAGGGAGTGTGCCTGAGTTGCAGGAAGAACCGCTGCAACAAGGTGGGCTATGATGTTCGGAGAATCCGCACAAAAAGGAGCGGCCGCATGTACCTGAAGACCGGGGCAGACATGCCCTTCCGAGGTCAGTGTCCTAGCCAGCTTCACCCCCTCCAACACAGCCCATGGTCAGCTGTCAGTTAGAAACAGGATGTGACTGTGACTGTATGGACAAGAAGACCCTCCTTCAATGAGCCAGCTATTAGCTGCTGAATGTCATATCAGAAAAAGCATTTTATTAAATGCTTTGTTTAGTCCTTTTCATTCCTGGAATTAGCACCTCCTCGTTACAATTCATTATCCCAATGCCTGAACCAATCAGAATCCCTCCTTTGATAGTAAGAACTGTCGATGCTGGGTCCGAAACGTCAGCTTTCCTGTTCCTCTGATGCTGCCTGACCTGCTGTGTTCCTCCAGCTCCACACTGTGTTGTCTCAGAATTCCTCCTTTGTTGAGTTTTGGTCAGCAAGGTAGCGTACACCCACAATGCCCTTAGGGAGGGAATTCCAGGATTCTGACCCAGTGACACTGAAGGAACAGCGATATATTTCCAAGCGAGGACGGTGAGTGGCTTGGAGGGGAACCTGAAGGTGGCTGTTTTCCTGTGTATCTGCTGCCCTTGTCCTTCTAGAGGAAGTGGTCATGGGTTTGGAAGGTGCTGTCTGAGGATCTTTGGTGAATTTCTACAGTGCATCTTGTAGATAGTACACGCTGTGCTACTGAGCGTCAGTGGTGGAGGGAGTGAATGCTTGTGGATACGATGCCAATCAAGCGGGTTGCTTTGTCCTGGATGGTGTCAAGCTTCTTGAGTGTTGTTGGAGCTGCACCCATCCAGGCAAGTGGGGAGGACTCCATCACACTCCTGATGTGTGCCTTGTAGATGGTGGACAGGCTTTGGGGAGTCAAGAGGTGAGTTACTCACTGCAGTATTCCTAGAACCCCTACAGTGTGGAAGCAGGCCATTCAGCCCATTGAGTCCACACTAACCCTCCAAAATGCACCTAGCCCAGGCCCAGTCACTTACCCTATCCCTATAGCCCTGCATTTCCCATGGCCAATCCACATAACCTGCACATCTTTGGACTGAGGGAGGAAACTGGAGCACCCAGATGAAACCTACACAGGCACAGGGAAAATGTGCAAACTCCACACAGACAGTTGCCCGAGGGTGGAATTGAACCCAGGTACCTGGCGCTGTGAGAAAGCAGTGCTAACCACTGAGCCACCATGCTTCAGACCCTTTTCTGAAGAAGGGTCTAGGCCCGAAACGTCAGCCTTTCTGCTCCTCTGATGCTGCTTGGCCTGCTGTGTTCATCCAGCTCTACAGCTTGTTATCTCACTTTAGGATGTTGTCATTTGCAGGTGAACATTTCTGACCGTTGGTCTCATTAATCGATGGTTCTTTCCTCTCACAGTTTATCACTACCAATTAAAGATGCATTTCTTCAGAGACATCAAACAAACCGAGACATCTGCAAATTTCCTCGTTTCACTAGTTGGAACTTTGAATGAATCGAAAGGCCTCCCTATTCGAGTGTGAGTATCTCATAGCTGGTGCCAAGTTGTCCAGCCAGGAGCTAGATGCCGTTTTGTGTCAGGCATTTTGTTTTATTTATTCATGGGATGTGGGAATCCATGGCCAGACCGGTATTTATTGCCGATCCCCAAACTGCCCTTGAGCTGAGAAGGCCAGTGTGGAGGTAGTTACCACGTTGCAGTGGGTCTGGAGTCACGTGTAAGGCAGATTTCCTTCCTCAAAGGCCATCAGTGAGCTAAGTGGTTTTTTATGGCAATTGGACATGGTTACCATTATAGTAACTTTTTAAATCGAGATTTCTTGTGTTTTAAACTCAAATTTTAGCACAACGCCCTTTCTCCAAGACCATAAGAGCATGTAAGAACAGAAATAGGCCATTCAGCCCATTGTGACTGCTCTGCCATTCAATGAGATAACTCCACTTCCCTGTTTTTCCCCCATGACCCTCGATTCTTGAACATACTTAATGACCCAGCCTCAACAGCCCTCTACGGTAAAGAATTCCATAGATTGAGAGAAGAAATTCCTTATCATCTGTGTCTTAAATGGGTGACCGCTTAGTCTGAGATCCTGTCCTCTGGTCCTAGTCTCTCCCACAAGGTCAAACAACTTCTCCACAACTATCCTGTCTACTCTCTAAAAATCTTATATATTTCAGTAAGATTTCAATAATTCTATAAACTCCAATGAGCAGAAGCCAAATCTACTCTCCTCATGAGAAAACCACTCCATACCCAGGATCAACTTACTGAACATTCTGGGCTGCCTCCAGGCCAGTAAATCGGGATAAGGGGCCCGAAACTGTCCACGGTATTCCAGCTGTGATCTGACTAGTGCCTCGTATGGTTTTAGCAATGCTTCCCTAGCTTTCAACTCCATTCCCTTTAAAATAAAGGCCAACATGCCATTTGCCTTACACCGAAGTTGGATGCTAGCTTTTTCTGATTCATGGTAAAAGATCTCCAAACGTCTTTCTCCATTTAAATAATATTCCGCTTCCCTGGTCATCCTTGCCAAAATGCATAAGGTCACACTTCCATATGTTATATTCCATTTGCTAAATTTTTACCCACTGGCCCAACCTGACTGTATCCCTCTGCAGACTCTGTGTCATCCTCACCTCTTGCCTTCCACCTATTTTTAGTGAGATCCATAAACTTGGTGATAGTACATTCACCTCAGTCATTCAAGTCATTAATAAATATTAATGTGCACTAACCCCTGTGACACTGCATGAGTTACAGGTTGACATTTCTGAAATGCTCCCTTATCCCAACTCAGTCTTCTATTGGTCATCCAATCCGAATCAGAAAGGTTTAGAGGGATATGAGCCAAATGCAGGTAAGTGGGGTTAAAATTGTTTCAGAGATAGTAGGAACTGCAGATGCTGGAGAATCTGAGATAACAAGGTGTAGAGCTGGATGAACACAGCAGGCCAAA